ATCTAAATGTATAAATCTAAATGTAAAACTTAAATCTGAAATGTTGTGATTAATGTTGAAGTTTAGTATTTCGGAATGGAACGCGGCCTTTGCCTCTGGCGCGTTGCTCTTGTTATGACGTCATCATCCTGCGACCAAAGCAACCGCTAACAAYGATAACGCTGCCGAAGATGGCATTTAAAATTCAAATTCAAAATGTGCTAATTGAAAACCACATGCACGGTGACTGCAGTCTGGCAGTTTAAGCTAGGACGTTGGTCGTAAGCGCAAGTTTGATGTCTTGTGGGGAAACGTTAGAGATGTTAGCAGTGTTAGCGCTTTTAGCGGTTGCTTTTGTCTCAGATGTCATAACAAGACTTGCGCACCAAGGGGAAAGGCTGTGTTCCATTCTAAAACAAATGCAAACATTTGACTAAACATTTAATAAAAAAAATAGCTAAATGTAAGGACGGTGAGCTAAAAGACARTAAAATGTTAGCGGARATTTTTAACTAGGATTTTACACTCAGAAAGTAATCTAAATAACAGTTAACATTTTATTTTACACGTGGTGCCCCAGATCACACAACACACTMATCTCAGTCAAGTCACGCCATTTGTTGTATAAATTGCACGTGGTGGAAACTGTACAGAATAGTAGTAAAAGTGCCTCAATACTTACTCATCAACACCCTTAATAATGACCTCATCGCTTCCTCTCCTCGTTTTTGAAGGAGCTAAATGAGATAAACTTGAGTCGTTTCACACATTTGAACAGGATTACATAATTCTGCAAAATCATCTGCAATGACTATTTGCAGGTGTCAAAATAAGTCGAGCTGATGCTACTTATAAGGTTATTTATGCATCTTCTGCTCGATAGCAAGGCAGGGAGAAGGATTTAAATACTCGTTACGAGTCAATAAACATTTATCACGTAAATACTTCAAAAGGTACACTTTCCGTACCAAGTTTTCACAATTTTATGTACAGAAAAAAATGACGAAAAGGAAATAAAACTATTTAAATTCAATGTATTTGATAGATTTTTTTTTTGTTTCCAAGCAAATCCTAAAAAGAACGTTGTGTCGACATGTTTCTCTGTTGCCGGTTCCTGCTGTCTCTGTGTTTTTTCTGTGAGTGTGTMCTCACGCAGGCGGTCCTTGACTGTGGCCCAAGACGTGCTGCTAAATAAATTTAGCCAAGCGCAGGTCAGAGAGTGACTCCCGTGGCTGTGAACTTGTATCCCGGCTGTTCACTCTTAATGGGATTTCTCAAATGTGCATTCTGTACAGAACCAGGTTGTGTGTCCTTATCTTGCTGGACACTTTTCCCGGTCACCTGTTTTTCAAAAGKGCTGTTTGTACCAAAGACACCTTCCTTTYTCGGTTTTCATCACATACTACGTWCCACAGTCCAAAAACATACATGTTCTGGTAGTTTGGGATTTTGAATTACATACATATTCTGTTTTTTTATGTAGCAAAAGGCTTGGTAGAAGCTAAAAGGAGCAGATTAGCTAAAAGCTAAGCAGCAACTGGCTAGGTAAATGTTAAAAAATGCTCGCTAAAAGCTAAATGTGTCAGCATCTGTGTTTGGTTGTGTTTTCGTTCTTTCGTATTCTTTTGATCTTGGAGTTTCTTGTCTGCCATCGACAGATTTGATAAAATATTGCAAAAGTTCAGCCAAATGTAGCAAAACTAGCTAAGAAGTAAATGTAGCAAAAATATGGAGGAAAGAACCATTCATAATTGGAAATAAATGTAGAAATATATAAATGGCTTGAAAAACTAAATACGTGGCTTAATAAAATAATAATGTGGCAAATTTAGCAACAATAAACACATACTAACCAATTTATTTGATTAAACGGTGCAACTTTAATTAATATTTATCATTTTTAACAGTATCAATTTAACATTATCACAATTATTTCATTGCTCATTTTATTTCCAGTCACATTTTGTACTAATTGTTTTTTATTTTTGTATTTCATTATTTATTTTAGCTAAATTTTTTCAACTACTTTATTTATTCCAACTTTTTTTTCTTGTCACATTTAATTTTAATCTATTGTTTGGTTGCTAAATTTGCCACATTGTTATTTTATTAAGCCATGTATTTAGTTTTTCAAGCCATTTATATACAGTATATCTACATTTATTTCCAATTATGAAAGGTTCCGTCCTCCATAGAAAAGGCTAACAACAAGCTAAAAAAAATGACAGAACAAGAGAAAAAAAAGAACATGTTTGATAAAGCAGATAAATAAAACATTTCAGAAAGATTTGACAAGATTTYTACATATTTTTATTGGGAAAATATGAATCAGTGTTCAGCCAGTGACTGACGTTCACTCAAGTAAAGATTCTTTCATCTTATCCACATTTTTTAAGCGAGGTAGGATTGAAGAAAAACATCCTTGTCATTGATTTTACCCTTGAAGAAGCATTTTTATCTCTGAAAGAAGAARTAAGTGTTATCAGCTGTCTATTTATGTTGATAAATTCAATTCATTCATGGAAAGCGGTGTTCTGAGCCGGGGATGGCAATCTGCCTTTTTAAACGATCTGTCTGATCTGTAGGGATGCTAACACTCATACATTTTTCTTCTCCTTCCATAGGAGATGGGTAAATGTGGGTTGTTGTTTTTTTCCCTTCCCTGTTAGTTTCTGTGGAAGTCTCCATRGGAGGGAGAAATGCTTCTAGGTCACAGGGAAGAAAGAAGGAGGCAAAGACAGACAGGGTGTGTAAAATGACAGAGCACGTCTGGGCCAGCGCAGATGCTACGCCGTATGTGTGGCCAAAAAACAAGCTGGCAGGCAGGTATTAGCTCATCAAAGGGGAGCTTGTTTTCTTAATTTATGCTTTCACCTCTGAAGAGGCCCCTTTTTCCTGACGTGTGTGCATTTTGTGTGGGTACACTCATAGTGCTACAAATTTTGTAAATGAATACAGGCAACACAGTGGCTCGGTTGGTAGAGCTGTTGCCTCTCAGCAAGAAGGTTGGTGGATCAAGTCCCTTCCGGGGACCTTTCTGAGTAGAGTTCTCTGGGAAGTCCAGTTTCCTCCCACAGACCAAAAACATGAAYGTTAGGCAGCTCTAGGTGGGACGTTATTGTACATCGACCCTCAGTGGCTAAAGCCTGTGGCCTTGGGCTGACCCTGGGCTGAACGGCTCCAATGAGCAACAAACTGAGGGGGTTGGACAAGATGTCTGTCAGTCAATCTGTACCTGAAAGGCATTAAGTTAACTGGGCACAATCTGCT